ATTGTTAGGGGTACAGAAGACATCTTTTATCCAGAAAAAACTACTGCTTCCGGAGGAAAAATTGTTTTATGTGGTCGTCAATGATCTTTGACACACATTTAGTAGGACATAAATACAAGCGAAACTGCGGATAAAACCTATCAGTATACTTGATCATCCTAATACAGTTACACTAACTTCATTTGGGTGTTTCATTCCCACCAGCCAGTAATGCTGCTGGAAGGTAGGGCGGAAGGGCCTTTTCAGCCTGCTTTCAGGAATCGTGGGAATGGGTGGGTGGTGGTTCGGGTGAGAATGATGAGACGGACGAAATGAAGACAGAAGAGAATGAAAGATTATCTGTGGAATATTACTACCCCAGCATTTGCCTAAGTGGTCCAAGGAAACCACAGAAAAACTTGGACCAAGGCAGACGGACCCGGAATCGAACGAGCGTCCTCCCGAATGCTAAGCAATGGTCTAAACCTCTAGGCCATGCCGCTCGGTAATACAGTTACACAAAATCTTAAGGAGTCACTAACAGTACCCTAAATATTAAATTTCTCGGTACCACTGGATTTATGACTGAAAATTTTGAGCTGTTTTTGTGAAAATGTACTGCTAACATTTAAATAAAGAAACATTCCACTATCCCTGTAACAAATTACATTTGTTAGACTTTAATCTCTATCTATCTACAATATCTTTTGACAAACTAATGATATTTCTGATTCGGATAATTATTTTACGTAATTAACAGTTATCTGCTCTTGTAATTAATGCCACTTATAATTGAATTTATTTGCAAGAAAAAATAAAAAGGATTATGGACGACTTAATGTACGACCGATAAGTGCATACTGCAACATTATAATTACAAATTATTATGCTTTTCGACAGCAGGACTCTTATTAGCCATTGCGCATCCATGGGTGTGGAAATATCAGAGATTATGTTAAAATAGCTCGCTTGTACGTTTTTCGCTGTCCCTTTTCCAATCAATTTAGAAGCGCTCGCCCATCCCATTGAATTAGATGGAAATTGGTTCATTAAAGTTGCTAAACGATCGTTTTATATCCATGGATATGTAAATGAAAGATGAAGGCGCGCTACCAGCAGCGAGGCGCACAGACCACCCCGGCGCGACGCAACGCTCCACGAAGGCAGAGGGGAAGTCCCGAAACTGGCCGCTCAGAATGGAATTAAAGCAGCTGGGCTAATCCACAATTACCCGATATCGCAATACATAATCGGAATTCAATTTGCTAGGGATGCTGATAGCAATGAATAGCATTAACAGAAATTTCTGTTTCACGAAAACAGCATTTGAACGTTGCAAATGTACAGTTGATTTTTTAATGAGAGAGATACGTGTATGCCTAATGATGGTTTAATAGTGTTCCATTTTGATTTATGTTTAATGGAAAAAGGCACTGAGACAATTTAATATGTTAAAGGCAAAAGTTCCAACACTTAAATAAATAAATATGAATTAATAACTTATTTTAAAGTATTTAAACCATTTTTGCTTAGTAAAGATATAGAGTCTTCTGTTCTCCTATTCTTTCCAATACCTTTTCGTTTCTAGACTTCTCTATTCACCGTATCTCCATCATATCGCCACCACCGTCCATGTTTCGCACCCGTGCAGCGCCGCGCTCCGACACAATATTTTTCGAATTTCTAAGTTAACCATTGCCGAGCATAAAGGTGAGGTATCCTCTGCTTTATATTCCTATTACTCCTTCCTTACTCTGACATCCCAGATACCGAAAATCAGCCACTTCTTCTAATTTTTCGTCTCGTACCTTTATATTCGCTGTTTCCTTACTTTTTATTTATTCCCTTGCATGCCAGTATTTTTGTTTTACTTTTTTATTTATTATTTATTTTCATACAATATTGTTTTGTCCATTTTATTTAAAGCTATCACTACCTCCTCCTTGCTAGATGCTAATACTACTATTACTACTACGTAAATCTGAGCATACCAATATTTTGCCTCTGTAAATCTATCCCTACGGTTGTCCCAACCAAAGTTTTAGTAACTTGATGTCCATATTGCGTACATTCGATTAACCAGTCTAGCCCCCAGCCCTGTTCAAAACTCAAAACCTCATACTCATAGGGTAAACTTTCTTTTTTCTTGACATGAAATTAGTGTGAATAATCGTAGTTGCAATAGAACTGGAAAAATTGAAAAGACTTTAACAACTTCCTTTCGTTAATAGGAAAAAACAAAGGCGTTTATTTTCAGTTATAATTTAACTTGTAATTTACTACTTTTGTGTGTCTTTAAAAAAGGTATCGTTACATATGGACTGTAGAATCTATTTCCATCAGAAAGCTCATAAAATGTACACGCAGGCTGCAAATAATGACTTTACACAATAATATAAAGAGCCGTCCAAATGTTCTTGTTTCTGTGGAAAATATTTTCGCTTTTCCGACAATTTAGCACGTTTAATGTGCGACAAAATGCGAGAAAACACAAATTAAAAATCACGAATTAGACACGTTGCGTCGCCGAGGAAGTTTCGGTTTTCAAAAAGAAATAAAACTGAATCTACAGAAAGTACAGTTTGTATGAGTCATCCGAAAACTATTGTACTTGGAATTGTGGTTTTGTAGTAAAAAGCAACTCAATTTCGAAAATATGGTCTAACACAGTATGAAAAGGAGAGTCAAAATATGTCATTAGGATTCTAAAATTCTTACTTCATCATCATCATAAGGTCGTCAGTCCTATGACTGGTTGGACTTGTCCTTGTGTTTTCCTAGATACCTAAAGTCAGCCACTTCTTCTAATTTTTCGTGTCCTTTCTTATGTGCAAATCTAAGCAAACTAATATTTTTCCCATGTATATCTATCGCTACAGTGTACTGTTTTTAATGATGTTGATCGCGCTTTCGATGTAAATATTAAAAAGTATAGGTAGTGGTTCTTACTGATAAATAAATAAAAGAATTTACCTCTTCTGAATTTAAATGTAACACTTTCCAGATGTTTCTCTACACATACCTTTCCTATAGAGGATCCTTTAAAACTTTTAGGTGTAAAAGGGGCAAAAAAAGTTTGAGAAACGCTGCTTTAATGTAAACGAACGAAAGTTCTTAAGAAACGGCTCTTAAGTTTTCGTTTTATTTCTTATCAAAATGGTGTCAAATGTAACACTGTTGGTCGCTTTCACGATTCACTTCCACTAAAAGCTGATAAGCCGCAATCTTTCGTTGATAGACGATCTGACTCCTTTTCATGATGGCTGTTGAAGCGGAAGGCCTATTTCGAAGAACTTTTCTATTGATAGGAAATGCTCTTTACAACTATGTACTAATCAGTGGATTGTTTCAGAAAGTTAGCGAGCGACCTAAGACGAAGACGCCCCGACCTTAGGGCGACTTCGTTTTCACTCTCGTTCTCCTTCCGTCGGAAATCCCCCGTCGTTCTTCTTCCTCCAGTTTTGGCTCATTTTCCAAGTCCGGGTAGATCTTTCAGGATGCAATTAAGTATACGACGGATCCTATAATAAAACCGGTAAGAATTCATCCTTTGAACAACACTAATTAAACAACTAACGCATCTCGAAGCTCTCAGCTAGCAGTCTTCTCGGCGATAGAGACGAGACACCGAGACACAAGACGAAAGATCGTGCTAGCGATAACTTTAAGAAAGCAACCTCTGCTTCTGAAAGTAATTTGGGAGATGAAGTTACTTGAAGGCTTTCGATTGTCGGTTTAAGGATGATATTGCTACTCGCAAGCTAATTCTGGGTTGCGATATAAGATATGAAGCTGTTGTTGTCGATGGTTTCGTTTTCGAGGACTACATTCTCTCTATCTCGAGGCAGGGAACGAAAACGATCGAATTTCATCCGGAACAAACAATTTTATTGGCAGACGGTACGTTTGTCCCATTATCCACAATCGATATGTGTGTCTCAATAATTTATTCTCAAACTATTCTTGGACATCGTTGGTGGTCCACAAACCGTACAGTTACATTTGTGTTTAGCACATCATCAACTCAATAAATCGAATGAGAATTTCTTGATTGTCTGACCTTCTCGTCCGATAGAAAGAATAAATAATGCGAGAACGAGAAAATGAAATTAAATACTCAGAAAAGCAAATTTTGATGACCTTTACGCTGTGAAAGCCAAAAATCATTATTAAGCATTCACATCGACTAAAATGAAAAAAGTTGTGATATAATGATCGTGAAGATTTGATAAAATCAATAGGACTATTCAAACTATTTCTTTGAAAAACAGTTAAGTTTTTTGTTTTTCATTTTCAAATTGTAAAAATAGCCACTGATAGGAAATATTTACTAACTGTGTTGATAGTGCTCACGAAACATTTTAATATTTTAATTTTCAAAGTTATAGTTCTTTTGATACATTGAGAGTAAAATTTTAAAATGCAACGGAATCTGCGCGCGCACAGTTAACGTAAATTTGACGGTACGAAGTCAGTAACGTGTGGCTACGAAAGCCAGTATGTGGGTAGTTCGAGATCAAGACTGGCATCTGTGATGTCAGTGCTTACTGATTGGGGTGACTTCGCATCCGCGCTAGCAGGGTGATATTATTTAAATATGTAACCAAAATAATTGTTTAAATAAATATATGTATAATAATTATTAGGCATATATAAACCAGCTAAATAAATATGTAAACTTTTTCAAATATTCACAAATAATAGGCTGACTTCAGCTAAACAGAAATGAATACTAACATGGTTAATAAATATTTGAAATTTATCATTAATAATCAAAGTAAAATGTAAAATGTCGACGTCGGCAGAAACCAACGCAATTAGCTCCCAGACTTCTAGTTGAGATTCAAAGATACAACCACAAATTTGATTAAGGAATTAAGGATAAGGCTATAAAATGAAAAGTTACGACTTTTAAAGAATTCAGTGGAAATGTAACCGAAGTCTCCAGCAGATATTAGTGAACATTAACAAAGAAACGTAGGGTCATTTACAAAGTAGAAAGGTGGCAATTATGTACTTACTAATAGTCTGCGATTTTCCGTGTAGCATCTACGTAAAGAGCAGAGATTTCTTAGACTCACCTGAAAAGAAAGATAGAATAACATTTTATTCAAATCTGGGAATATGTACCATTAGGCAATAAATAATATATTATTTGTCGTATTTATATATGTATATCAAGTGGAATTATATGTAAAAAATATGAACTATATACAGGGTGTCTTAAGCAAGCGCGTTTCCTCAATAACTGCTTTACAGTTAAAGATATCAAAAATTTTTCTTACAAAAGTAGTACCATATAGATAAGTATCTTTATATCCTAAAATTATGTTCGATTATACAGAGTGTCACATTTTTCCTGAAGGCAACCTAACTTCATTTTTTCAAATGGAATACATCAATTTTCATAAAATTCGCACTAAATCAATAAATAGTCTGTTGCAGTGCTCTGCGCCATTTTGAATGACTCTGAAACGAAAGCACATAGAGGTGTGCTACATCAACGCAAACATGTTCTTTTTAACTGCATTGAAATCTACCACTTCCAAAATAAATTGTTTCGAACTATTTTTTTTAATGGAATGTTTTTTTTTGTCAGCTCATCATTTGCAAAATTTTATTTCCTTTCGTCCAATACGTTATTATCTAAAAGCCGTACTCCGAATCTCGAGTTAAAGGAAAATTCGACTTAGAAAAAAAAATATTCGAGTTATAAATATTCCAAGTACAGAAGTTCGATTCTAAATGTTATTGAATGTAAAGGATGTTTTCCAATTTTTCGTTCATTGCCTTTCCCTCGACCGAAAGTAAATTTGAAAAACGTTTTCGTGCAGGTAGGTAACTTTGATAAACTTGTTGTTCAAAAAAAAAGACGTAAACTACTGCGACTGTTAATCTACGTAATTTCCACGGAGCGAACGACCTAGCTCACCAGAGAGACCCTGTTGAGAAAACAAATGCTCTCGGGGCTGTCGATGTTGAGGTGGGAAAGCTGAGGTAGTTATCCTGCAGTCCAATGCAGGCTACCACACGAACACACGCTGGGGTCGAGATACAAACGACGAATGCTATCGATTATAGCGTATTAACGGTGGATTTATCAACAACGGTTCTCGTATCTCTTAACAAAATCGTAGCACAAATCCCAATGGATTGACGAAAAGCTAACCATTGAAGTTGATTCGCGATATATGTTACGTTAATACGTAAAGTAGTTAATGTGTTTTATTTTTATTTTAGAGTAAATTGCACAACGGAAAGCGATTCTACTTTGAAATGTTAAAAATAATGTTAAATGATATTTGAGGTACCTATTGGTCGGCTTGATATCGTTTGTAAAACAAAAGTAAAAATTAAAGCAGTGGACTTTGCTTTCCTTGTGTACATGTAAACTTAATAGGCGCACCTCAACATTTGTAGTTACAGAAATTCATATTGTACCGAGCACGAGTGTGTTTGTGTGCGATCGAGCACACGTGTGCGTGAACGGCTTATCGATTCGCCGACTAGCCGCAGGCGCCTTTTTTCATGTGCGCCGTATTTGTAAGTGTGTGTGTCTTACCTGCGTTCTGGGAAAGCAGTTAGAGTTCAAAGAAAAAATAAACTATCCGGATGTTTCCAGAAGAGTCCCGAAAGTAAACAAAAGAGACGATCGCCGAGAGGGGGCAGAAATAAATTGACCGTTGTAGAAGTGTAGTAGAAATAAATTGACAATGATAGCGGTGAAACAAATAGTGCAGTGAATAGTGAAATATCAACAGTAGTGTAAATAAATAGAATAATTCATAACTTAAGTTTAGTAATAATTTAATAGTGTTTTTAAGTTCTTTAATAATTAGTGTAAATAAATAGTTTTTGCCGTNAGAAGTTGACTTTAACGGTGTTGATGGTGAGTCCTATGAGCGATTTCTGGTAGATCTGGATGAATCAAATGATGTTGGTGAAACTGATCTGCTCGTCCCCGATGGATAGGATGAACTTCGAATATTACACTTTGATAGGAAATAAATGACGTTTTATTGTTATCCGCTATATCCGGCTCGAAGGACCATGTTGAATGTTGCGGGTGTGTTGCTGGCCTAGATTTTCCTAAGGAACACTTAAACCCTCTTCGATAAAAATTAATTTATCGAAGTCTATTTTTTAGATATAACGGCCGAATATTTTCTATCGGTGGTATTCTTCTTGGAGCAGTACGAGCAGTAAACGACTTATGTGATTTTTAACTTTTTAATAATCAACATACACTTAAACTAACACCAAAAAAAAACACTTAAAAATAACTACAATGAATGAACTACTGATGAACTGAATAGATAATTGATTGAACTTGGCAGAGAAAACTAAATGGTTGAAAACATGAAAACTTAATGAACTTTTAGATAGATAAAATGCTTAAATATGACAAGAAAATATAGGGGGTGGAGGTACGTTAGTGGGGTGTTTTTGACCTTAGGCTACGGTTAGTGACTACGTGACTAAAATCAGAATATTGTTGTGGATGGAAAGACCATCGACCCATCTGGTGACTAACGCGAAGGGACGTTACCTGCCGAGGAAAAACCTAAATACAATAACGATAACATTCCTTTGTTGCAGGCACGTTATTATAAACTTAACACTGCGAAATACACAAATGTTTTTCGTTGTTCAAAAGGCGCCTCATGAATTGCGCCCCAACAACTATTATGTACCTAATTATTACCTGGATATCTACTTTTCTGCTTTTTCATTATTGATACCTGCCTACGTAAAAATAATACGATTAACAAGAGAATACTTTTTAAACGATATATATAAATAAATAAAGAGAAGAGGGTACTTAACTCTTTTTCGTTTGTAACGCAATTAATAAAAAGTTTTTCAAAAGTTTATAAGAACTATCGAAGTCAGATATAATTTATCAGATAGTACACGTCTTCTCCTTTATAAAAAGTAAAGAAACTATACAATATTAATCCGACACCACGACATCTCTTATTTCAACATTACTACGTCGGCGCTGTAATTACAGAAGCAACTTTACAAAAGTAAAACTGAGTCATATGAGAATATTTTACAAAATTTCAGTTATCATAAATATAAAAATACATAGTACAAAAGAACTTCTGTAAATACTGTCACATTTTGTGTAGATGCTAAGTGAACCACAACAGGAGCTTTTCGCATAAAATGCGTACGTAATTGTTTGAATTAAAAACACAATTTTATTTAAACAGAAGCTCAGAATGTCTTTTCAATATTTTATTCTTTACATAAACCTAAATACATCAGTGGGAGTAACTTCTGAGTATATTTAATTTACCTATATATGTATTTACGTTATCAAAAAATAATGATTTGTATAACCACCGACAAGAGCTTTACAGGATATGCTTATTGAATTTCTCGATAAAAATAGCAGAAATATTCATTTGGTAAAAATAAGACTGCTATTTTTAGAATGAAACGTATGTACATTTTGCATTACAGAAATCTTAAGAATCTTCTCCTCCTACTTAGTCCCTGATGAAATAATCCCCTTTCCAGTTCTTCTCAAAACTTTCTCTAGGTGCATACAGATATAATAAAATATTTTCTTAAAAAAGATATTTTTATCACAATTTGCCGGACCTTTAGATCGACACGATAAAAAAGCATGGGTGCTGATGTCAGTCAGGAATTACTGTCTGTGTCGAAATTAAACCTTATCTTTTTTTCTTTGAGAGAGAGAGAGAGAGAGATCAATTTCAGGGACTGAAAGCGAAATGAGTGCTGGAGTGCCTTGACGTGCAAAAGGGCAGAGCCAGATCCATAAAAGGGGCATCGTTTCTGGCATGAATGCTGGGCACGTCGAGTCCGAATGGTCTGACGAGACAATCGCCAGGGAAATCTCGATCCACGTCATCACAAGCAGTTTATAATTTTTGAAACTCAACGACCACGCATTTTTCTTACTTATTTTGCGATAAAGCGCAATTTATGGGCCACTTTTTCACTACGTTGGTGTTGCTTTCGCTACAAGCTCGAAAATGCTCATGCCGATAAACCCGCCAATGAAGCGCACAAATACAACCAGTGCATTCATAAAATCCTCTTCGACTGTAAACAATTAACGAATAGAATACTTATGATTAAGGTTTTGGTTTCGTTGTGTTTTGATGTTCGAGGTGATGAAATAAAAAGCGGAATAAAACGTTAACAAACTTTAATAAAACAAGAACGGAAAATGAAACTAGAATTTAAGAAAGTAGTATTTGAAAGTAGTAGTTAGGAAGGATAAGAGAGATCTGATAGTAGATTGAAAATTAGAATACTACTTAGATTATAAGGGAGGAGTTGGAAGAATAAAAATTAAGGTAGGGAACGAATTAGAACATGAAAAGTCACCTTAAATCAATACACGTCCGCATCCGCAATCCGCTTCCGCTTGCTTACCATGTTTACTATTTACTTCTGTGTCCGCTTCTGTTTCCGTTACGACACTTCCGTTGCATCCTAGGGTCATATAGGTCAAAACACTTTCGTTTATATGTATATGTGCCCTCTCAGAAAAATTCCTCGGTAGTTCCCGAAAACAGATTAATTGAGGTCCATTTTAAAGCATTCTCATGGCGGTAGAGCGTTTGCATGGCCAGTTCGGATGGCAATATCGAACTGATTTGCGTTTTCGCATTTGACTGATCCCCCATAAAACAGGCAATAACCATTGCATCTAAATCCCATTAAACATTCATTCCGTCCCATAGGTGCGGCGTATGGAGTTCCCGTATCATATAACTGTCTCAATTAACACTTTAATTTATTATACGTTGCCGTAAACGGCTTGGCGCAAAACACAAACGCAATTTGCATCGTATTATTGGATTTCGTGTCAATTATACATATATTTTCAATCGGATTTTAAAGGTATTATCTATTTACATAAACTACATTTTACGTGGGCGTAAGCTTGCTTGCGTAGAGGCCCTTTTAACTCTCTATTCGCTTTTAGGATTTATCGAACGTCAACCACTAAATTGGTATCGATGTCCACTTGATTTTAGGAAATTCAAACTTACACATGACTATATCAAGTTCTCATAACACATCTATAATACCT